AATCTTTGGATTAATATCTCAATGGCTGCATCATCTCTAAATTATAGACGCATAAACAGAGATTTCTTATTTACTGCTTACATTCAGTCTATTTGTAAACTTAGCAGGGTAATCGCGTTTCCTACAAGTGTATTACGTTGGGCGTCTGACTCATCTTCAACTAAAAGTTTTTACCACGTTTTCTTTATATTGAGGTGGCAGAAGAATAAGAAAAATGTGTGTGCTGTCTTGTCCCGGTATTTTTCTTGTTTAAATCCCTTTTTCATAAATAGCACTAAAAAAATTGGTATTCATCTGTTTAATTTCTAACTAAATCCATTCTCATTCTTACGTAACTGTGTCAGTAGAATTAATCGGTATATGGAGTGCTGTTCTAGTTCGAATTCTGTAACTGATTATTTTGTTAACTGATTATTATTTTTGGATAATATACTAAAGCATTGTTATAGCGGACTTGATAGAATGCAAAATAATCAGACTATTTGGTTATCATCATTTTCTACATGTCTTCTAATCATCAAAACACATTGATAGTACCATACCGACACTTTCCTGCATACTACTTATGAGCCACTTGGTGAGTAGTTTGTTCATCAATCACACTGACAATAAGAATGTATATGTATTCAAAATAATTTGTTGTATATAAAAAAGTAACTATAAAATTGATGCATGATAACAATAACATCATAACATGTTTTTGATATCAATAATGAAAATAAATCTAATAATTAGAGTATTCATTCTGAATAAAATACAATACAAAATGTAATTATTTATTTGATAATACAATTCAATTATTCAGTAAATATTTTTAAATAACTGATGAAGTAAACAATAGAGAGAGAGAGAGAGAGAGCGAGAAACAGGCACAGGGAGAGATAAAATGAGAAAAAAACATTAAATTTGGAGACAAGGCACACAGAAAAACAGTTTAGCTACCAAGTGTCAGTCAGTAACAGAGAGAGAGAGAGAGAGGGAGAGATAGAGTGCACTAGCCAAAATGGTAGTGTTAAAAAGTCTCCTCTTCATCATTATTAATATCAGTCTGAAACAATTGTTATCAATGATTGTTTTGCATAATACAGTTTTTGTGACATCACATAAACTAATGTGTGTTGGTATAGTAGTTTCTATCAAAATTTCACGTGTATATGTGTATATTATATAATATGCACTGATTGTCATAGAACAAAATAAAATTTGATTTATTTCAGTAAATAGACTGATTATGTATATTTTCATTAGCAGAATTTTAAGTCACAAGGGATTTTTAAAAAAAAAAAAATAAATAACATACGTATTTATTTCTATGCATTCTGTGTGATGACAAACAATTCAAGTGTTGTAGATCATTAGACTTTGTCTAATAACTAGAATGTGATTAGTTGCAATATTAAGTTGTCTACTTGATTACAGTTAATAGAGTATGCAATTTTGGCACTCAAAGTATAAAAAAAGCTAGGAGAAACAAGAGAAGAAATATTAACTCCAGTAAGTGTGAGAACGTACAGGGAAACCATGTATGTTTCATAGTTTTTGAGATCAGTAAGTCAGTGACCTACAACATGGAACCTTGTACGTACGTACATCAGTTAGAGTTGCCATACCACGTTAAAACAGGACTGCGATTGTCAATTCAAATCGCATAGTAGTAGAAGTTTAGCGAGATTTGAAATGATTAGGTTTCGAAGATATTATTCAAGAAATAAACTTACAAAGGGAAATGCCAAGGAGATGAGGAATTCAGAAGTTCATAATTTGAGGGAAGACAAATAATGGATGCACCTGCCTGACCGCAGATAATGTTGAGCCATAATCATTCAAATTCACTAACTACCGGTTACTATTGTCTCACAGACTCAAACCGGGTAGTCTACAAGTTTTTGGGATAGACAGAAAGCATAGCTATAATTTTCCAAACCGCAAACAGCGATATTACACATTGGTTTGGTCATAGTGTGCTGCGTTGATATTCTGGAAAATCTATCGGATTGTGACCGTACGGAGACTCTTCGCCTTTTCGTGAGCTCATATAAGCTTTATCGATCTTTCTGGAAACCACCCCCAACATGTGTTAAAGCGAGCATGTGCGCACCACTGATTTACTTCGGTAGGTGATTCTCAGGGTTCTGTTGCGAAATTAAAACTAATGGAGCTGGAGAACGGGGTAGTTACCTACTAGTGATATTAAAAAGATAAATGCGCATTATCACAAGTTGGCTGAAGCTAGACATGTACAGTACCGGACCGTGAGATCTAAAGGTTCGATTTCCGGTGGCGTCATTAACACCCGATTTTGTAGAGTACCAAACTAGGATGAAGCAGCTGTCCGGGTTCTCCTAGATTTTCAATGATTTATTAAACAAGACCTATTCACTAATGGGAATAATAAAATCAAAATAGTATTACTTTTCTAATATTTACCATTATATTTCATTTGATTATGAAAAGAAAATAACTGAATTAATCAACCAATCACCAAAAAGCCAAGCTAGTAAGACAGTTTTATTTACTACTGCTGCTTATTATTAACCCACTTCTTCAATGATAACAATGGAGTAATCATGAAAGTCATTTCAATAAACAAAAACAAAAACAGTAACAACAGATAAAAAAAATCGATAATACATACAGTCAAGGTGATAACTGAAAAATAGGAACTGTCATCAATAATCCAATGATAATCGATTCGTTATATATAACATGATGAAAAAAAACAATATTTAAGATTCGGTCATACACAACACACACAACAACAAACCAACTGAATTAAAATAAATGTTAAGATATAGTTGATAAATATTAACTTGACAAAATATACTAGAGATTCCATAAACCTTGTATAAAAGATTCTACAAGATAACACAAAAACTATATGGCAAAGTTGAATTTTTGTTAAAGCCAAGTTTGAATATCTTACAAAAATTCAACACCTATGGTTACAAATGATTTAGTAATTCAGTACGAATAAATAGCCCGATTGTAGCTGCTACCTTAACGTGTTGGTCGGGCTTGATTATTGTGATGACCCAACTGAGCTACATTGGTTGGAGTATATGTTCCTATTCAGGTCTTACCATGCCAGCCAGTAAGTAATGCTGGTGTTAGGAAACGGGCACTAGGTAAGGATGGCAAATCAATAGATGAAGTAGTGAATGTTCATCAATTGAGGTAGTTGGAACATGCGTTACGTATGCTCAACCACCAACTACCTCGACGAGCTATGTTTTGTGGTGTAGGAGTAAGTTGGAAGAAAGCTAGGGGTGGCCACAGACAAGCATGACAGAAATCCATGAAGTCGCTGACCACTGAACTGAGCCATGTTAGTAAGTGTAGACTACCTGGTTGGGTTCCACAAGATGATAGTAACCGATGGTTAGTGAATTTGAATGATTATGGCTCAACATCATTTGCAGTCACGCAGGTGCATCCATTTTTTGTCTGCCTTCAAATTCTAAACTTCTGAATTCCTCATCACCTTGGCATTTCCTTTTGTAAGTTTATTTCATTGGATTATACTCCTTGAATAATATCTTCGAACCCTAATCTTTCCGAATACTATTATGCGATTTGAACTGACAATCGCAGTCCTGTGTTAATGTGGTATGGCAACTCGAGAACCAGTTGTACGTATGTACGAACTTCCACGTTATAGCTGACTGACGTAATAAATGGTGTGACGCTCACCCTGAGACTCAGATATGCTTCATGCGTAAAATGTTCTACCAACTAAGTGAGAGTGTCCAGATAACCACTAACTTAAATCGTTTCTAATAATCGTTTAGACAGTTATACATGAAACTTGATATTTAAGAGGATTAAATCTATTAGCTTTTTGATATATATATATATAGAATAGAATTATGGATGAATAATGTTTAAGAGTTTCAAAACGGAACAATAAAAAGAGCTATACAAACGAGGTTAACATTTTCTTTCAATGGATGGATGTTCAGTCGGCATCATTAGTACATCATAATATACATATATATATGTATTTGTTTAAATGTTCACATTTCAATCAATCAGTCAGTCAGTCATTCAATCATATGTACAAAGTTATATGGTGTTGTTGTTGAAATATTTTCATATCAAATTTATGTATTTTTCTCCATATTTTTTTTTACCAAGAATTCTTATCAATGTAATTTATAAAACAGAACAAGTGAATAATTAAATATTAAAAAATGTCACACAATAATTAATCTTACGAGTCTCTCTCTCTCTCTCTCTCTCTCTATATATATATATATATATATATATATATATATATATATGTTAAAATCTTAGTATGATATTTATCATATGAATGGAAATTAAATATAGATGACATTGTCAAATGAAGAAAAAAACACAGATTCAAATAAAAATTAAGCTTCTATGTATGTATGTATGTATGTATGTTATGATCCTCTATGATTATCAATATTTTGTGCGCTTATGAAAAACATACCATCAATCGATTGTGAACATAGAGTTAAGATAGTTTAATGAGGAGATTAAGTCTATCAGAACTATACCACTGGGCCGGCATCCAACGGTGTTCGCCTACAATGCCAATGTCCCGGGTTCGAATCCTGCGAGAAGCAGGAGTCGTGGATGCGCACTGCTGAGGAGTCCCATACTAGGACGAAACGGCCGTCCAGTGCTTCCAGGTTTCTAATGGTGGTCTAACAATGATGATTGATTAATGATTTCAAATGAGTTAGAAAAAAGTCAACTCTATAAATATTACATCTTACTGAGTCCCACAGATTTCAAAATACAGTTACGATGTCTAATCCGTATTATCAGTACTGGTACTGTAGTATTTTGATCATTTTTTTTTCTTGTTATGCTAATCTAGGTGTGGTGACTTGGTCTAATGCACATCATTTGCACTAGGTTGTAGGTTGGTTACGCCTATGTCTGTCTGAAAGATGAATAAGCTATCAATCAATGGGACATATATATTCAATATAATTATTGAGTTATTTTTAAAGGATGATAATACTTACACGATGACCTTCATTAGTATAACATAATTCACCGTCAATTTTGTATACATCAGCTGGGCACCATTGACTATGTCCATCACAGTATTCCGGTAAATCACAAGTACCAGATTCATTACGACATATAGTTCCAGAAGATTTTAATTTACAATATGTTTGATCATTATTATTATTTCCCATTGAATCTGATTGAATAATATCACAACATGGACCACCAGCACATTCAGATTTACCACGTAATCGACAATGCATTGGATCACAACAAGCTTGCCATTTCTCTGGACATGAAGTTCTAAAGTGTAGTGTAATTTTTTTTAAAAAATAAAGAAGGGGATAAGATTTCATAAGAAATGATAAAATTAATCTTACGAAGTTATATATATGTAAGAAATAATACATACGGACTACAATGAATTAACTTTATCTGAATTATCACTGTGTTAAGTCCTGAGGTTATCCGAGTAGAGGCAGATATGTACGTTTTATGTACTCAAACCTAATTTGGTGGCAAGTAAAACAGACTAAGAATGAATAAGAAGGTCTAGTCGACAACCGAATCAAATATGTAAAAAAAACTCACTAGTATATACATATATAGATCTGTCCCTCAGAAATAAGTCAAACCTTAACAGACTGCAAAGACGACAACAACTGATTGTATGTTTGTTTTAACATATCTCACCTACTATTTGGCCTTTAGATAGCATGTGCGCACAGGCACGTGATATGTCTGGGTTCCCTTGGGATAAAAGATTGACGATCAGGGAGCACTGGAAAGCTGTTCAACCTAGTTAGTATCAGACTCGCCATTTATGTGGATACACAACCAAGGTCTTGCGGTAGGCATTCAACTTATTTGATATAAATCTATGCGAAAATCACTTATAGAATGGAACAATTATCATTAAGCTGATTTAATTCAACTTAGTTAAGTCAAGAAAAATAAATCTTCATTTCATTGCTCCATTAAATGCGATAAAAATGTGAAAACTAAGTTTGGAACAGTGAATAATCATAATAATAATACGACTAAATAGCCAGCAATCAGATATTCACTGAATCTCAGCTCGGATACAGAAGGCTCGATTGGCTTTTGCCAACCTGCGTCACTTATGGCGTAGGCAAGATATCCGCTTGCTGACTAAAGGACGAGTGTACTGCGCAGTAGTTCGCTCCCTCTTTCTTTATGGCTGAGAAACATGGCCAGTAAGAGTAGAAGATATTCTTAGGTTACTGGGTTTCGATCATAGGTGTCTTCGAAGCATTGCTCGTATATCATGGGACAACCGAGTAAGCAACGCTGTTATTAGGAAGCGGGTGCTAGGTAAGGATGGCAGGTCAATAGATGAAGTAGTGAAACTTCATCAGTTGAGGTGGTTTGGACATCTGTTACAAATGCCTAACCACCGACTGCCTCGACGAGTTATGTTTTGTAGTGTAGGAATAGGTTCGAAGAAATCTAGGGGCGGCCAAACCAAAACATTGCAGCAATCCATGAAGTCATTGACAAGTGGACTTAGCCATGTCGGTAGTTGTCGACTACCTGGTTGGGGTCCGCGAGATGATAATAATCGATGGTTACAGACCCTGAATGACATGGCTCAAAACTGTTTGCGATGGCGTAAGTGCATCCATTCGTTGAGCTCTCTCAAATCCTAATCTTCTGGAATCGTCAGCACCTCTACCTTTGTCACCCTAACCTTATCTCACTGAATCATACTTCTTGAATAATATCTTCGAACCCTAGTTTTCTTTATTACCATTAATACCTCTACTATCTTTATTACTATGGGATTTGATTTGACATTTGCGTCTCTGTGTTAATGTGGTGTGGCAACCTGAACTTATGTACATACGTACGAAGTTCTACGTTACAACTGACGGAATGATTGAAAGTATAGTGTGTTATTTTTACCAATGTTAAATGTGGTTCCGATAAAAAAACCCTACAATTTAAATAGACAAGTCGGTAAGTTTCTTTTTTATCTTCGTCAGTCTCATTCAATTTAGACATTTTTCATCACTAATTGTAACAAGAACATTTTTCCAACATCGAAATGATGGACTGATGTGATACAAATCCAGTTACTGAATTAATTATCACTTGAACAAGAGTTTACTACTCAACTAACTTCACATTTCTATCAATGCAACTGATGATATCCTCTTACTAATTGACAATTAACTCAATTTATAGTTAGTTTTTTTTTACAAACGATGTAAACTTAAAAGGATTGTATTGGTAATTAATTATAAATTAAATAATATCAGATTAGAGTTAGTTGCTTGGCTTTTCACTTATTGTTTACGTTCCTTATGACTGACTGACCGACTGACTGATTGACTCATGATTATTATAATAGTTTCAAGTTAAACAACTAAGATCTATTGGTTATTATATGATAATTAGATCATGAAAACCTGATTGATTTTTCCTGTGAACTTTTTAGCAATGTCAATTATAGTTGTAAATGAAAGAAAAAATTAATTAATTAGTTTATTTTATTATTCAATGATTTTATAAATTTTTTCTTAAATTTTCACACAAAAAATTCATAATATCGCAGTTTCTATTCAATATACATAAGCGTAAATTGCAAATTAGAAAACTATCAGAGACAATGAATAGTGAATATTAATACGATACATAAATTATGAAGAATTTATGAACAAGCTGTAATAATGAATATGGGTAATATGTCATTCCCCTTTTTTTTTTCCTAAAAGATGTGATTCAATACACTAAAAATGTAAATAGAATCGATACATATGGACTTAAAGAGTTGATAAAATATTAAACTTCCATTAGAAACCTGGAAGCACTGGACGGCCGTTTCGTCTTGGTATGGGATTCATCAGCAGTGCGCATACCAGGACAAAATGGCCGTCCAGTGCTTCCAGGTTCCTAATGGAAGTCTAACAATGATTGATTGATGATTTCAAATGTGTAAAAACACTAATCTCCATTACTCTAATTGAAAATATTAAACTGATTGTTAAGCTAGTTCAATTAGTATTTCAAGATGTCAGTACAAAACTTCTTTTGTCAATTAAAAAATCTAATGATCAGTTTCAATGAACAATAAACGAATCTAAATGGAAATGAAAATATTGACAAATTGTTTGAACTTGATAATTAAACAGTAATGTAACGAGGTCAAAGGAAAAGAGAAAGGCCAAGGAACACATTACGCTGACAAATGGAGACAGTCATGAGAAGAATGAACAAAAATTGGACAGGGGAGCTGCAGTAGACAGTAGGTTGGAGAATACTGGTCCGTGGCCTACGCTCCATTGGGAGTAACATGAGTAAGTAAGGTAACGATAGACTTATATGGCTAAAAAAAGCTTAGAAAGTTAGATAACAATGCACAATCATTCAGTTGCAACGTAGAACACGGTACTTAAGTACATCAGTTCAAATTGCTGTAAGGCATTAGCAGAGAGTAGTGAAATTATCAGGCTAAATTTCCATAGCAGTAGAGCAATATTGGTGGTAATGGAAAACATTAGGAATTGAAGATAAGATACGAGAAAATATAAATCGTTGAAATAAATTTAAAAGAATAAAAATAGGTTATGACGAATTTGAGGGAAGAGAATGAATGGATACACCTGTGCCATTGTAAACGACTTCGAACCATGTTACTCAAAGTTTCTAACCACTGGTCAAGATTATCACCCTGACCTCAATCAGGTAATTTACATTAATCAACATGGCATAGTCGAACTGTCAATTACTTCATGTACTGGAATCATGTTTTAATTTGATCACATCCAGATTACTTCAAAGCTACTCCTATACCAGACAACATAGTCTATTAAAGCAGTCAGTGGTTGGGCATGCATAAATGAATGAATCCAGACATTACAGGGTTTCTTTTCAATGATTACCACAGGAAACATGTAATTATATAGGTTAGTTATAAAATAGTCTGTAAAAATCTTTCTGATATATCATGTTTATTCACTGTTCATATTTCCTTATGGATAATTTGTGAACATATTGAAAGTGAAAACACCGACATTAGTATTATGAAATATTAGTCAGACATGTTTAATGCATAACTCAGATTGAACAATGTGTTCTACTGACAAATCGATGTATACGGTAACGTGATCTCCACTATATCCTCCTGTTATCAGACTGTATATCGGTTAACTTGGAAAAATAAATTCTATAATCAATCAATTCATTGTACTAATAATTTAAATGTCATAGATTTTATGGGTTTTTAGTTCTTTCTTTTAACATGAATAATTCAATGATATTAAACAGTTCAATTTTTAAAATAATCTTAAATTGAATCTATTATATAAACATCCAATATTTAACACGGAGACAGAACTGTCGACAAATACATTAATTTTTCTTATATTATCCCTAATCGTTTTGATAAGGAATTTAACTAATCATAACTACTGTTCAACTACAGGTAGATTTCATTTTAAAGTTGATTATCGGTGAATCATTCTATTGTCGGTAAATTTATAAATAAATACAATAGTTAATAATGGATACACGCGCACACACACAAACAAATATCGACAGTATCGTTGATAACATAGCATTATGACTAATGATGAATGTTCATTCATCATCTGTTTCCTTTCTATATATATACTGTTTATGTAACATAGAGATCAGAATAAACCATGCACACGGATTGTCATTAGGATGACTTTTTACAGTCGATTGGAACAAATGATATGACTAATTAAATCAACAACAAACCTGTTCATATCTAAATAAAAATGATTAACATTCATCAAGTATGATTGACTTTTGCCAACCTGCGTCACTTATGGCGCAGGCGAGATATTCGTTTGCTGACTAAAGGAGGAGTCTACTACACAGTAGTTCGCTCCAACCTACTTGTCTGTGAAACATGGCCAGTGAGATTAGATGTTCGTAGGCTACCGGTTTTCGATCATAGGTTTCTTCGAAGCATTGCTCGTGTTTCTTGGGACAGCCGAGTAAGCGAAGGTTTTATCAGGAAACGGGTTCTAGGTAAGGATGGCAGGTTAATAGATGAAATATTGAAACTTCATCAGTTGAGGTAGTTGGGACATGTGCTTCGTATGCCTAACCACCGACTGCCTCAACGAGCTATGTTTTGCGATTTAGGAGTAGGTTGGAAGAAAGCTAGGGGCAGCCAAACCAAAACATGGCACAAATCCATGAATTCACTGACAAGTGGACTGAGTCATGTTGGTAGATGTAGGCTACTTGGTTGGGGTCCGCGAGATTATAGTAATCGATGGTTAGAGACCCTGAGTGACATGGCTCAAAGTCGTTTGCAATGGCGCAGGTGCATCCATTCTTTGTGTTCTCTCAAATCATAAACTTTTTAGTTACTCATCACTTTATCTTTTTAAGTTTATTTCACTAGATTCTACTTCTTGAATAACATCTCTCCGATTACTTCTAATACTTTTACTACCCCTACTACTATGGGATTTGAATTGACAATTGTCTCTATGCTGATGTGGTATGGCAATATGAACTGATGTACGTACGTACGAAGTTCTTCGTTGCTATTGATTGATTGATTGATCTTCATTTTATATTCGGTATATGGTTAACAGTGTATTGCAGAACATACGTCCTATTCTGTTTAGAACTCTTCGGTTTAATAAACATAGATATCATTGATGAAATTGTCAGTGAAACATGATCCTATTCATAATCGGTTTTATCCATCATAGAATAACTACTGAGCTACTTCATTAAGTTCAACACCCGTTTAAAATTTTCACTCAATAGTATGTGAACAAAGTAAACGAGTTGTTGTTATCAAGTAAAATTTAAATGACTGTGATAGGCATACTCGTTGAATAAATCTTGATGTGATTCTTTTTATAAGAAGAGGGTTTAGTTATATTAAAAAAAAAACAACAGAAGAATGTAAGAAAGTGGACTAATATGAAATTGTTGAGAAGTAGGGAGTGATGGTTACAAATACAAAGAATAAGGCTGAAGCTGGGACGACAAGAAATTCAAATTAAGCGCACTAAAAATCATCAGTTCTTATTTTTTTGCCCTAAATCTATCTACATATCCGTTCTACATTTGTTGTCTGACATATATGTACAATCTGTTTATCATACTTTATACTACTCTGGTTTTAATTATTTGTCATCACAGATTAGCGGTTTCAGAGAAGAAAAAACACTCAAATTTGACAATCAGACAGATATAGATAGGTAGACAGGTAACAAAGATTGAAAGTGTATTGATCTTTGAATGTCACATGTTTTATCATAATGTAGACTAGTAGCAGCAGTGTTGATGTCTGGATTGTGAAACATTTCAAGTTTCTATGATGATGATGATTAGATTAGACTGTCAGTTGGAAATGTTTACAATACACTAGGTAATTTACATTTTCCCATTGGATTACTCATATTGGTGTCTGAAACTTTAGCAGATTATTAAATAAACACACATATGATTCGATGAATAAAAAAAGTCGATATAACAATTATTGTACTCTTTTGAATTACGAATCATCAACATTAATTGTATTAATGTATTCATTTATTAAGTACATATGTTTTTCTAATAATGTTGAATGATGATAATTTAGCTAATACATATACATATTCTTACACTGTTTCTACTTATTTATCCATTTGAACACGATTCATATCAACAATAAGGTTAACAGATTTAATTATTGGATTTTTATAAATTATTATTCAAAAGTTTGTTATGATTAGTTCTGCATTACGTGAATATGATCAAGTTAGACATTATCACTGTTAGATACCGGCTCAGTAGTCTATCGGTTAGGGCGTTCGCGCACAATGCCGAAGGTCCTGGGTTCGAATTCTGCGGGGTGCAGGAGTCGTTGATGCGCACTGCTGAGGAGTCCAGTACCAGGACGGAACGGCCGTCCAGTGCTTCCAGGTTTCTAATGGTGGTCTAACATTGATCGATTCATGGTTTCAAAAATAATTAGTTCTGTTGGTTTTTTCTTGTTTATAATGTAAGTGGTTGATTCAAAGTGTTAGACACAAGGTGCACCCTCCTATCATCAGTGAAATGTTACGTTGAAACAAGAAATTATGATTGCTTAACTCAAATATTCCATGGGAACACTAGTAGTCCATCGGTGAGGTGGTCCTAAGTGATCCGATAAATCGGAACAGAGACGGGGTGCTTGAATATTTAGACTCATTCAGTTTGGTATTGGAGAGCTTTTCAATGACAAATTTGTTCCAGGTATATGTGCTATATTCACAAAATTATTAGTAGATACCATGGACTTCTCAGCTGTACCAGATGAAACTAACTGTCCAACACTGACCACAGAAGCAACGGACTGAAGGTCACTCACCGGATTCAGATGTAACAGAATGAATGTGTGACTGTAAAGTTTTGGTGTGATCTGAAGTGGAACTTAGAGTCTCACTTTCTTTAGTTGGTAGAAACAAATCGGTCTTGACCTCGGTAGCTGGTAGTTTGTTTTTTGCGGGTAAGACACGGACAGGAAGTTGAAAAGGTTTTGACCTTTTCATCATCGCTTGCAGTTTAGGGCATGACTTTCGGCTCGTCAACTTTTACATCTTTAGATGATTCGAAAATCCCAGATGATTCTGTAGGCATATCTGAACCTGATAAAGTGAGTGAAGCACACAACATGACAGAACAGTAAGTGTTTCAGATTGGGCACTGCTATTAAAAATTCACATATAATTCACTGCATATTGGTAAATTGCTTCAAGATGGCTTGCGGATGCCCCTATGCAGCCTAGAGTGAGGGAAGTCTCCTAACCCTTTTCAAATGCTTTGATATGGCGCGTGTATTTAGTCACTACCAGTGAAGTCTTGTTCACTACCTCCTCAAGGCTGGTGTGTTTTTCACGTAATTAAGAAGACGAAAACCGCATAACCAATAGGGTTTAAACAGGGTTGGTTAGTACAGAGGATCCACCTATAGTTGAAAAACGCTGACTCCAAAACAATACTACATGTGAGCCCCATCATCCTGAGGAAACTATTCTCAGTCACCGACTATCAGGGGATCTCATTGCCAAACGGCGCTCCACTTCCTTTGTGAATTAGACCTCCACATCTAGAGTCGGAAAGGGGTCTCCTGAAAAGACCGCCTGGTTCCGTTTGAGCATCAAGCAATGTTTGGGCGCCCCCTTGTACCAACATTGATAAGTTTAAATAAGCGAATTAATTATTTTTTTAGGATGAATAATCCGAAAGTTCAACCAAACAACGTAGTTTTTGATGGTCAATCAGTTCAAGACTAATGGAATTTATGTTAAATCATGAATGACACGAAGTTTAAAAATGCAAACCATCGTATTTGAACATAGTCCATTGAAACTGACTAATCAAATGTTAGATACAGTGTAATACTTATGAGCAAGTATATAATGTTTTTTGGTTTTAAAAAGTTTCCCGAAATATTTTCCAACTTATTATCAAAAACCTTTGTTCAAACTATTTATACAAATGAAATATTCAAACAAACACCGAGTGTTCATTATAATTTTGAATACAAATACGTGCCATTATCATTGTACAATTGCAAAACACTGTATAACTTAAGTAATACTTAAAGAAGTATTTCATCGAAAAGAAAAGTCATTTGTAGAATAGACTTATCAAACCACTGTTAACTAGTATTAATGTGTTTGCATCCATTAAGGTGAGCAATCAGTCAGTCAGTCAGTTGCAACGTAGAACTTCGTACGTATGTACATAAGTTCCTGTTGCCATACCACATTATCACAGAGACGCAAATGTCAAATCAAATTCCATAGTGATAAACATAGTAGAGGTATTAATGGTAATGAAGAAGACTAGGGTTTGAAGATATTATTCAAGAAGTATAATTCAGTGAGATAAGGTTAGAAAGACAAAGGTAAAGGTGCTGACGAATCCAGAAGATTAGTATTTGAGAGAGCACAACGAATGGATACACTTGCGCCATTGCAAACGATTTTGAGCCATGTCATTCAGGGTCTCTAAGCATTGGTGACTTTCGTCTCGCGGACCCCAACCAGGTAGTCGAAAACTACCGACATGGCTAAGTCCACTCGTCAGCCACTTCCTGGATTTGTGCCATGTTTTGGTTTGACCGCCCCTAACTTTCTTCCAACCTATTCCTACACTACAAAACATAGCTCGTCGAGGCAGTCGGTGGTTAGGTTGTCGTAACACATGTCCCAATCACCTCAACTGATGAAGTTTCAATATTTCATCTATTGATCTACCATCCTTACCTAGTACTCGTTTCCTAACGATAGCATTGCTTACTCGGTTGTCCCATGATATATGAGCAATGCTTCTTAAACATCTATGATCGAATACTAGTAGCCTACGAATATCTTCTACTCTTAACGGCCATGTGTTTATAATACTAACCATACCAGATCATATCATGCCATTATTAAATGAGAAGCGACATTTATACATGAGCGAGTTAAAAGTGGATTTGATTAGGGAAGACTGTGAATTATTAAACTAACAATAAATTAGCAATAATAATAAATCATACAACAGAAGTTAATAGGTTATTTGGAAGATTATAATAAAAAGAATAAACATATATCATAATCTAGTTACTGAATAATTATACAATAAGGTCATACACAATAATAATAATAATAATAATTCATAAATTATTCATCGGAGTTACCATTACTTTAATCTTCTTCTTAATACACCACTAATTTCTTACATAACAGTATAAATATTTAAAAAAAAATCAATAAAATAAGGATATTTAAGAAACAAAATAAAATTAGCTTAACTTACTGTGTACCACAATCACATTCTTCACCAGGATCCAGAATTCCATTACCACATAAACTATTCACAAATTTCTTTTCAACACTAGACGACGTAGAATGACGTTGTCTTATAGTTGTTAATAAACGACTGCTAGGAATTCGTTTTGTTTCACTTTGCCAATCATAAATATGTACAACACTTGGAATAGTGGTGATATTTGGATTTTGATTTGTAGATAATATTTGAGAGTTTGGTACAAATGAATTAATAGTTACACTTCCACTTGCTGGTAAATCATGCAAACAAACACCCATGCCATAGTTTAATAAACCTGGTAAATCTCTTATAGAACATGGTGACCATTGCATAATTGTTGTACCGAATCTTAAATATATAAGAAAATAACAACACAGAGTGTATAATGATAATTTATTTGAAAATACAAATGTAATCCATTAGAGAATAATAAGATATTTAAATGTGTCAAGATAAAATAGAGTTATTTTTTGTAGTCATGTATTTTGATTTAGTTTACAACTGAGAAACATGATCATTGTAAGCTGAGAGAATATGTTCAAGCTAATTAAAATTGAATCATTATGAATATTGTTGAAACATTCCTATGGTATAGTGGAATAAATTAGGAGGAGACTAACATTGTGTTTAGGTGTAATGTTTTAGATATAGATCGTGAATTAGCTATTGAGATTGTATATTTATCACGATGGATATTCGTTTGATCACTGTCTGCCTGGCTACCTTGACATTGAATGCTGGTTATTGTACAAGTAAATATAAGGAATTAAAAGTTGATTAAACTCGAAAGTGGAATCAATTCATACACTCAGTGACTGATGATTTGAGATTGAATTTCAAGTAATAACTGTGTGGTTGAATATACAGAGCAAAATTACGATCAGTGATAGTAAACCTTAACTGAAATAGCTTAGAATGGGATATACCTAATATCAACAACTTTACATATCTGGGCAGCATAATCGACGAGAAAGGTGGATCGGACGCAGATGTGAAGGCGCGGATTGGCAAAGCGAGGGCTGCATTTCTACAGTTGAAAAATATCTGGAACTCCAAACAACTTTCAAACAAAACCAAAATCAGGATTTTCAATACAAATGTCAAGACAGTTCTACTGTATGGAGCGGAAACCTGGAGAACTACCAAAGCCACCATCCAGAAGATACAAGTGTTTATTAACAGTTGTCTACGCAAAATACTTCAGATTCGTTGGCCAGACACCATCAGCAACAACGTACTGTGGGAGAGAACAAACCAGATTCCAGTGGAGGAGGAAATCAGGAAGAAGCGGTGGAAGTGGATAGGACACACACTACGAAAAGCACCTAACTGCGTCACAAGACAAGCCCTCACATGGAACCCTCAAGGTCAAAGGAAAAGAGGAAGGCCAAGGAACACACTACGCCGAGAAACAGAGAAAGATATGAGAGGAATGAACAAACATTGGACAGAACTAGAGAGGGAAGCCCAGGACAGAGTTGGTTGGAGAAAACTGGTGGGCGGCCTATGCTCTATTGGGGGTAACAGGCGTAAGTAAGTAAGTAAGTAAGTTACAATTTTGTATAGGTTGAACATTTCCATCAGTAAACTCCAATATGAACAAACGTTGATAAGTGATAAGTACTAAATAGGTATGAAAACAGACAAACTATACATTCATTTATTTACAGTGATGTAAATTATTGAAAAAAAAAAAACTACAGTACATGCGATTCAGTCGCTTCATGCATTGTCAAAAGCGTATCATAACCGGAACAAGTGACAGTTTAGGTTAATGTACAACAAATACTAGTTGACAGACTACAATGAAACTGTCAAACTGAAACAAATACAACCTTGTCATCAAAATAAAAAACGGAACTTCATTAATACAAAACATCTTGATAATTTCTATTCTAATCATAATCATGGACATGATTGACGGAAATAGTAACCTTGATAACTACTACTACTTACTACATGATACTTATAGAAAATTGCGACATTTTTGTGCAAAACAAAAAACAAAAGTCAAATTATTCTAACTTTTTAGAATATGATAAACATGTGATGAATTGTAACCGACTTTATTCGGACATTCATTCATATTTAGACATCTTATATGGACATGTGCATAAGTAATAGTCTATAAAATATCTCTGACGAAAACAAACAAATAACGATGTTGAGAGGATAATTTTTAAAATCTAAAGATAAATACTAAACTGTCTGATTTATTCAAATGACACAACAAAAAAGAGTTGATGAGCATGAACTAGGAAAAACAAATACAATGTACAAACCAAACAACAAAGTTAACAAACATGTCTGTGATCTTAACGAAAAAACAATGCAGTATAAATAAACTGAAAACAAAATCATATGCTTAACAATGATATTTTTATAATTCGGTCGAAAATACTGGTCGTTATCATTGAAAAAAATCAACACAGTAGTATATCGAGAAAATAATGTGAAAGACAATGACAACGATCAACATACAAGATTGAAATGAACAAAACTCTGTGTTTTCATACGTGTATTCTGAGAGGATTGATTATATTTACAGAGGCCTTTTGCTAAAAGTCTGAATGTATATAAATTATAGCTGTTACAGTGAAATCTAGGATGCACGTTTTTGTTCCGCGTGGGACTGATCAGTTCGATGCAACTGAAACCCAATGTTAATATTTACAGAGAGAATATTTCAATTCAGGAATATTGGTTCCATCCACTGCATGTTATTGGATAACCTACTGAGTTTATATTACCTACTAACTGTTCTGAATATTATTAAAAAAACAAGAAATTAAAAACCTTTACACAAATTTATACTCGTTGAATAAATTAACGAACTCAGTAAGCTTTAATGGACACTTGAAGTGAAAAATAATGGTTTCAAGTTATAATATTGACATTGACGTTGACAAACAGACATTGGCACGACGTGATGAAATGTGTTAAACTGATCGAAATAATATAGTAGTAATGATAAAAAGAATAGTAAAATCTTTACAATATGATTTTTTAAAGATGGAGTACATAGAAATGAATACTGCAATTCATAATCGAAATGAAAATCGAGACTGAATCTATCTACCCCATTGTTAATTCACATTAAGCTATTTCACGAAAAGTTTGGAAACATTTATAGCATTTGTCAAGCGTATTAACGGCGCTAATGAGAATAATTGATGAATATCAACGATGAAACGTTTCATCTGGATTCCAATGGTAGCAGAAATCCAGATAAAGTAAAATCTTCTCCTTAAACTTTAAATGATAACAAATCAAAACGAATATAACATATTAATCAAATCGATTTACAAAAAAAATTATTCACTAATATGGTATAATACTTACTCAACACCAGTAGCCATTATACAACCTTGACATTCACATTCTTCTGTATCATGTCTTAAACCTAAATTATGTCCAAGTTCATGTGCCATAGTACGAGCTGTTTCAGTAATATCGAATGTTGGTGAAACCTGAATAAATCAATTACATTAGAAAAAAATTTATTCTTATCTTTTATTTCTAGATAAAATTACTTTAAAACAATTAGTCCCTCTTATAAATTTTGATAGAACAGTGAGAAGACGTAATTGATCTGAAAAATGTGATGTATTTGCGCTATACATTTCGAACAATCTGGTCACACATATTTACTTTTCAAGGCATTTTATATGAAGATTAATAAAAAGGTCAATTAAATAAAAGTTCTATTGACCTTTTATTCATCTTCATATAAAATGCCTTGACAAGTAAATATGTGTGACCAGATTGTTCGAAATGTATAGCGCAAATACATCACATTTTTCAGATCAATTACGTCTTCTCACTGTTCTATCAAAATTACTTTAATTTTGTTAAATATTATGAGTGTATTAAGGCGTTTGAATGTGTAAATGATAGAATATGTTTGTAACATATTCCGAAATCGTCTGACGATCATACCTCACCTTACTCCACGGATTTCCGTCGCCAGGGTGCGGCATTCTGAAAGACAGAGCTAACACGTTAATGTCCCATCAAAATGCCATGCACGACCGGCCTAAAGAGGTTGCTTCTTCGGCTCTGCGATCACGCTCTCAAGTCGCTAATACCAACGTTAATCCAATTTCCTTTTCAAGTTCCTTTCATCCACGTTGTGGGCAGTCGGAAAGTGACATTCACCCTCATAACCGTAACAACACATGAAACTTGATTAGTCACAATCAAATATGTTCTACAACTCTTTATAACTCTCTTATCTCCATGAATAACCGTTCTCACATTCCTTCACCAGCCAGGGGCGACGATGTAAACAACTTAAGTACACGAAACATAATTCCAGGCCTCCTGAAACACTGCCATAAACTATATTTCGGAAATTTTATTATGCAGAGTAAGTGGAATTCTACTACTATTAAGCAATGCAAATGTCAGAATCGAATGACTGACTCTTGTTTGTTATTTTTCAAACAGATTGAAAAATCTTTAATACAATCATCTTATGTACGGTACATAAAATTCAAATGTAATCGTTTCATTGCGTTCATTTGTAAGAACACTATATATGTATAGTGTATAAAATCTCTTTTAAAATGTAGTAACTTATTATGTCTATATTCGTTAGAGAATAAGTGCAAACCAGAACGAGCTCAGTGCGATTGTACATAAACATTTTTTGTTGATGAACCTTGATACCAAGATGGAAACAACTGTTCAGTGCTTTTAATTGTTTCATCATGATTTAAGGTCATTTCGTATGATATAAATTACAAACAACTTGTATATACATAAAGACATATATATATATATATATATATATATATTACTAACCATATGGTGAGAATTAGTCATTGAAAAAAAGATCGAAAACACAGAATAACATTGTTTTTTTCTCTTTGAATTAGTGAACATGTTAATTAAGTGTAGATAGATAGATTATTTAAAGCTAACAACACCTATTAGTCTGATAACTAGCAGAAGTATACATACATATATGGAGCATTTACAAACTGAATCAGAAAATGTATAACTGCGTCCAAAATAAAAAGAATCAATGAATCAGTGAATTAATTAATTACTAATTGAATAATGATTAGAAACACATAAAAACAAACTTACTCTACTATAACCAACACAGCGTGAATAAATACACATTGTCATGTGATTAGCTTTTCCACGAGTTCGTGAACCTTGTTCTTTTGTACCTCTATGGTGTTGTTGTTGATGTTGTTGATGTTATTATTAATGAGTTATAAGCAATAGAAAAAAAAAACAGAAAAAAAGACAAAAATTAAAAAGAAAACTATGAAGTTATATCAAACCTCTAGATAAAAATAAGATAACTTGTTGTGTGCTGTTCAATTAACTATCAAAATCCATGATGACAGATTGGTTTAGTCGCTTTCTAAATAATTATTAATAGTTTGCATTACAGGGTTGTGAAGATTGTTAAGTTACACATTTTTGAAACCATGAATCGATCAATGTTAGACCATCATTAGAAACCTGGAAGCAATGGACGGCCATTTCGACCTGGTGTGGGATCCATCAGTGGCAGTGCGCATCCACGACTCTTGCACCCCGCAGGATTCGAAACCAGGACCTTCGGTACTGTGTGCGAACGCCTAGACAAGGGACCACTTAGCCGGTATCTAACGGTGTTAATGTCTAACTTGATCAATTCACGGAGTTGCGCAACCTCATAGTATGAGGTTGTGACACATTTCCTCGCATCGATTAAAAATTATTTATGTAGACCGGTTGTATTGATCATGGTTGTTGAAGTATTTGTTCACTATTGATCATAATCATTATAGCATAATAAGAGGAGTAATGATAGAGAAAAAAAGTAACACTGATAATAATAATAGTAGTTGTTGTTAGACATAATACGAAGAAACATATAGTTTGGCGCATCTTATCAATACTTCGTTATTTCAGTTACATGAAACAAGTATTAACATGTGTTTATCTAGATAATCGATAATCAATAAAATCGGTATTCTACATTTTGTAATGAGGTCAAATGATTATTTATTTGACCAGTAATACATGATGCGTTCGATATTGATTTTAATCATTTATTAAGAAAAAGAAACGATTAATTAATTAGTTTTCTCATTATTCAAGAAAAAAAATGTCGTTAATGATTAAAAAAATTTCACAGTCAATGGGATGTGATGTAATCTCATTCGAGCAACGTTTAGGTCTCTGTGAAATCATAGGCTTCATCGTTTCAATGATAATCCGTTTAGTAGTGTTGTATGTTTTCTATATGGCTGCTTTTAGTCTCTGTTTTAAGATTAGACCATTTGCTTCACCTCTAAATGGTTTTTATCCATGTTCTAATGGTTGGTGAATGAACAACGTTCAATGACTGTATTCTAGGGTTTTGGAACATTGGGTATAGGTAGTCAGTAGTAATGTTAACTTGAATATATATATATATATATATATATATATATATAAACTATGCTACATGATTGAAATCCATCAGCGAACGATTAGCAAGTCAACGAAGAATTAATTTATCAAACTCAATAGGGATGGTATCAAAGCCATTTTGAACGGATAACTAATCATGAAATCAACATGAACAGAATGAAAAATGATTCAGTAGAATATGAAACAATTTTTTTTTGTAATTTATACCATTCAGATCAGAGAATATAGAAGAAAACACACGATGAAAATCATAGAGATATGTGTAAAGATTATAAACCAATTATGTTATCATCAAACATGAATTCAAAAGAACAAGTATCATCTATCTTATTGATAATTTTACTCGGAATTCATAACGATTAAGAAAAAATAGCATCGTTAGTGTACCAAAAGTTTTTGTTGTATTCAGTCTACATACAAATGAATTTCCGAAAATAAATGAAAACAATTTGAATTAGTAGTGATAATAATAATAATAATAATAATAATAATAATAATAATAACAGGTGTGACTACTAACACACACTACTGAAATGACTCATCATTGTAGAATAAAACAAAAACTATTCACGTATAAAGCAATTGATAATAAGTAAGTATATATACATTTATACGATAAATATTACCATGCCATACAGTAATTCGAAATAAATCACGTTTCAAAATAAAAATGCATACTGAACACACTTGATTGAATTGTATTCAAATTAGAATGCACCAACTAACAGATATGAGAAAAAAATTGCTTTGACTTTAAGAAAACTCCGCCTAGAGCCCCTCTAGGGCTACTATCGGCCCCAAGCCCGGATAAAGGAGGAGAGTTGGGCATGGGGTCGGCGATCTCATCCTACAAAAAAAAAACTAACTCGCGCTAAAAATATTGTTGACTAGAAAACATAAAAACTTTAAGAAGGCGTTTCTCATTCAAAATTATTTAATGCTTGTAAGTAAGAGATGTATATTACAAATTCAACTGAATGATGTGTCTACATTTCAACTCATTCAAATGTGATGATAAATTAATGACTTGCAATCAGTAATCATATTTTTTTGCTTAAATGTTGAATTTTTAAAAGTATTTTAAGACTGATTTTATAGGATGAATTCATTATTTTCTCTCTCCTTGAATTACAATGGCTATACTCAATTTCTTCTACTATCTATCAGTGATAGATTGACGAGCAGTACGAGTGTTAAATTTGTAGGGTTAGTATGTTTTAATGAATATTTAATATTGCGGGGTTGTTGTGAAGATTGTTAAGTTTTATTTGTAACCATGAGTCGATCAATGTTAGACCACCATTAGAAACCTGGAAGCACTGGACGGCCGTTTCGTCCTGGTATGGGACTCATCAGCAGTGCGCATCCACGAATCCTGCTCCTCGCAGGATTCGAACCGAGGACCTTCGGTATTGTGCGCGAACGCCCTAACCGTTAGACCACTGAGCCGATATCTAACGGTGTTAATGTCTAACTTGATCAAATCCACGGAGTTGCGCGACCTCATACCCTGTATACATCCGGACAGGTTTGAACTTCACTGGTCACGAGTCCCATACCAGGACGAAACGGCAGTCCAGTGCTTCCAGGTTGCTAATGGTGGTCTAACATTGATCGATTCATGGTTACAAATAAGAATATTTAATAATCATATAACATAAGGGATTGATCACTAAATGACACAATGAATCAATACAGAAAAAAAAAATAGCTATCAACTAGACTTACAATAGAGCATGTAAACAATCATGACGTACATTAGCATGCATTCGTTTGAATTGTGCTAATGCAGTGAGTAGATGATGTTCTTCAACTTTTAAATTAACACGATCCTGTTCCCATATTTCTAAACGAACAACAGTGATTACAATGTTGAATGGAGCAAATAACTGGAATAGAATAGTAGAGGATGGGATAAAAAAAAAACAAGTAAAAATAATAATCATAATAAATTGACCATGTCGTAAGTGTACAAGAATTATATTAGGAAAAAAATTAAAGCTATTGAACAGTAAGTTCAATGAATCAAAATATTAGATTTATGGACTCAGGCATGAATCGAGTAGTTACTTTGAAGTCTATTGAGTAATACTTTATTCAATGATTGCCCAGAGGGAGATGGATTGATCATTGAATTACTATTCATCATTAGATATTGGACGACTATTTTAAGAATAAACTAACTATAACAGGTTCAATTCATTGATTGAATAAAAATTGAGCATGTATCATCAAATTATTCAATGATTCAAAGAAAAATAATAATAATAATTGGAATTATTTGATTTGTGTATTTACTTAAGCGTTATTTAATTGATTACGAATTCAAATAATAGACGGTACAATTAAATAAACTCAATTGAAAAATAACATTGTCTATTCAATATTGCAAATATTAATAAGATTGATAATAATGATACAATTATGTATTTGAAATAGTCTTATGAATGCATTCTTGTGGTTGAGGGAGAGACAGACACAATAAACCATATGTGTACTTCACATTCCCTATTATATGGATGCGAAACATAGCCGGTCAGAGTAGAAGATATTCTTAGGTTAACAGTATTTGATCATAGATGTCTTAGAAGCATTGCTCGTGTAACCTGGGACAACCGAGTAAGCAATGCTGTCGTTAGGAAACGAGTTCTAGGTAAGGATGGCAAATCAATAAATGAAGTAGTGAAACTTCATCAGTTGAGGTAGTCGCGGCATGTGCTGCGTATGCCTAACCATCGACTGCCTCGACGAGCTTTGTTTTGTGATGTAGGAGTAGATTGGAAGAAAGCTAGGGGCGGCCAAACCAAAACATGGTACAAATACATGAAGTCACTGACAGGTGGACTGAGTCATGTTGGTAAGTGTAGACTACCTTTTTGGGGTCCGCGAGACGAAACTAACCGATGGTTAGAGACGTTGAACGACATGGCTCAGAACAGTTTGTAATGGCAGAGGTGCATCCATTCCCTGTGTTCTCTCAATTCCCAACCTTCGGAGTTCTTCATCATCATTATGTTTCTCCTTTTAATTTTATTTCACTAGATTCTACTTCTTGAATAATATCTTCGACTTCTAATCTTTTCCATTACCGCTAATGCTTCCACTATCTCTACCACTATGAGATGTGAACTGACAATTGCGTCTCTGTGTTAATGTGGTATGGTAACATGAACTGATGTACGTACGTTGGAAGTTCTATGTTGTAACTGATTGACTGACTGTACTTGACATTTAACCTCAAGATTGATAATTCAATCTGATCATATCATAACCTAGCAATACTTGAAGTATATAATTTTAAAATTTTAAAACAGTTGTTCCAATTTACAAGCTTTTCAATACATGTGTCTATGTGCAATCAATTTATGACAAAAAAACAGTGTTTAGTTTGAAAATCATTTAGAGAAAATTTTTAAAAGTTTAATTAAAAACACTGCATACAGTCAAAAATAAGTTGAAATAGTTAAACATAACAACTGGTTAATACAGGCGTTTTTATTGAAAATAACACAAGCAGTATAAGAAAATAAATATTATTATATAATATTTGTAAAATATCTACGCTTGGATTTGTTTGACTGTTTCGGAACACATTCAAATCAATTAATCAATCAATCATCAGCAACGTAGAACGTCGTACGTACATCCGTTCATGTTGCCATAACACATTAACACAGAGATATCATTGTCAATTCAAATCACATAGTAATATAGAGATAGTAAATGTATTAGCAGTAGTAATCGAGAAGATTAGGGTTCGGTGATATTATTAAACAAGTAGAATCTAGTGAAATACAACACATAAAAAGAAGAAAGATAAAGTGATAAAGAATTCAGAAGCTCAAAATTTGAGAGAACACAACGAGTGGATACACCTGAGTCACTGCAAACGATTTTCAATCATGTCATTGAGAGTAACAATTTCAAATGAAAATAAAACAATATTTGAAAATAAGTAATCATTCATCATGATGAAATGAATTTTTGAAAAGAAAAAGAAAAAAATACACACTAATCGAATGAACATTAGTGAATAATAGAAAAAACACAGAAATCAATAAAGAACAATGAATAAATAATAATTTTACATTTTTATATTTCAGTCAGTCAGTCAGATGCAACGTAGAACTTTGTACATAAGTACATCAGTTCATGTTGCCATACCAAATCAGCACAGAGAAGTAATCGTCAATTCAAATCCAATAGTAGAAGAGGTAGTAAGGTTAGTAGAAGTAATCGGAGAGGTTAGGATTAGAAGATACTATTCAAGAAGTATGATTCAGTGAGAAAAGTTTGGAAAGTCAAAACTAGAGGGGTTGAAGAATCCAGAAGATTAGCATTTGAGAGAACACAGAGAATAAATGCACCGGCGCCATTGCGAACGGTTTTGACCCATGTCATTCAGGGTCTGTAACCATCGATTATTATCATCTCGCGGACCCCAACCTGGTAGTCGACAATTACTGACATGGCTAAGTCCACTAGTCAATGACTTCATGGATTTCTGCCATGTTTTGGTTTGGCCACATCTAGATTTCTTCCAACCTATTCCTACACTACAAAACAAGGCTCGACGAGGCAGTCGGTGGTTGGGCATACGCAACACATGTCCCAACCACCTCAACTGGTGAAGTTTCAATACTTCATCTATTGATTTGCCATTCTTACCTAGCCCCCCTTTCCTAATAACAGGGTTGCTCACTCCGGTGTCCCACGATATACGAGCAATGCTTCGAAGACACCTATTATCGAAATCCAGTAACCTACGAATATTTTCTAATCTCACTGGCCATGTTTTACAGCCATAAAGTAACACGGAGATGTGAAACATGGTCATTAAAAATTGCATGTTGTTTTGTTGTTGAAAGAAAAAAAATATGTCAACTTCCATTCCAACATGCAAAATGACATTTTTGATGTATCATCATCAATAATTTTTTATACAAAAAAAAGAGAAAAAAACATGTAAATGGATAAAGAGAAAAAAAAATATTGATAAATCGATAATATATAAATGAAAATGACCTATAAAATGAGATAAAGTATTTTATGAATAAACGCTTTTTCTATTTTATTTATCCATTGAAAAATATGATATATTTAAATTAAATTAGTTTTGAAAATAATCAGACAATATTATATTTTTGTTTCATTTTTTTTAAAATTAAAAAGTAAGATAGACAGACAGATACAACACAGAACTTTGTACGTATTTATATCAGTTCAGGTTGCCATACCATATTAGCACAGAGATGCAACTGTCACTTCAAATCCAATAGTGGTAGAGTTAGTACAAGTATTAGCATTAATGGGGAAGATTAGGGTTCGAAGATATAATTCGAGAAGTATAATTCAGTGAGATAAATTTAGAAAGATAACGGTAGAGGTGCTGACGAATCCAGAAGATTAAGATTTGAGAGAACACAAAGAATAAATGCACCAGCAACATTGCAAACGATTTTGAGTGATGTCATTCAAGGTCTCTAACCATTGGTGACTTTCATCTCACGGACCCCAAAACAAGTAGTTTACATCTACCAACATGACTCAGTCCACTTGTCAGTGAATTCATGGATATGTGCCATGTTTTGGTTTGGCCACCCCTAGCCTTCTTCCAACCTACTCCCATACCACAAAACATAGCTCGTCGAGGCAGTCGGTGGTTAGGCATACATAACACATGTTCCAACCACCTCAACTAACGAAGTTTCAATACTTCATTTATTGATTTGACATCTCTACCTAGTACTCGTTTCCTAACGACAGCATTGCTTAATCGGCTGTTCCAGGATACACAAGCAATGCTTCGGAGACACCTATGATCAAAGACAAGCAACCTGCGAAAGTCCTCTACTGTCACCGGCTATGTTTCGCATCCGTATAGTAGGACTGCTGAGCAGTACACTCGTCCTCACCTACATCATAGGTGACGCAAGTTGGCGAAAGCCAATCGAGCTTTATGTATCCGTGATGATATTTCTTCAGTCACCACGCCATCAACACTGATGACGTTTCCTAGATAAGTGAGGCGGTCTACACGTTCGACTACTTCACTCCCTATCACTAGTTCAGGTGCCGATGCAACCCAGTCTTGAAGCAACATATTGCATTTCGAGGGGGGAAACCGCATTTCGAAAATGCGTGCATTGTTGCTTAGGGTGGTCAGAAGACTCTGCATTTTGTCAGCGTCTTCACCAAGTAGGACTATGTCATCGGCATATTCTAAGTCGATAAGCGAGCCTCCCGGTAGGTCTACTCCTGAAAATTCAGACGAGGATAAGGTCATTTTTAAGAGCATGTCTATGATAAAATTAAACAAGAATGGAGAGAGTAGACATCTCTGATGCACACCACTTGAGGTAAAGAATTCCGATGACAGTTCGCCATAAGCTCTCACTCGACCAATGGTGTTCGAGTAGAGTGTTTGTATAGGGTTAATGTACTTCTTTGGTACTCTTTTTAATGTCAGACTCTGCCACAGAACCTCACCATCCACAGAGTCAAATACCGCTTTAAGGTCGAGAAATACTACTATTATGGGACATTTTAACGTGTGTCTTTGTTCTAGGACCTGACTTAGTGTGAATGTTTGGTCTATTCATCCATGTCCAGGTCGAAAACCAGCCTGGTTTTCTCTAGTCTGCTCTTTACAAGCTTAAAAAATAAACAGCAATATAATGAACATTCAATATTAATGACAGTGAGAATGTGCAGTAGCCTCATTAGCAGAACACAATGAGTATTGAAGAATTCAAAAACTACTGTAGTACCAATGATATTAAAACTAAATATTAACTACAAGAATGAAACGATATGTGCAGACATAAGTGATGGAATGTTAGATATTATGATTTAAACAAAGATAAAAGGTGAATTATATATGTGCATCATTATTATGATCGATTCCGAAATATTTCACAGAACCTCTTCAACTAATTAATGATCACGTTTATCCAACTCAAGTCTATAACATGCATTGACTGTTAATTAAAATTGCAATAGTTATTGTTATATTCACGTAAGTCTATATAATATCGCTCAATCTACAAAAGTAATATAAGCAAATAAATTAGAAACTCTTACTATTCTCTATACTGAAAGAATACTACTAATGATCATATGACATTTTGATAATTAAAATTTTGTAACAGAAAAACTAATAATAATAATAATAATAATAAACAGAGCCAACAACAACAATAGACATTTTACAAATATGAAATAAGTTAACAGTATGCAACATAAAGTTAGTTCAGTTATGTAAATTTTGAAACATCAAAGTCAGTCAGTTACAAAGTAGAACTTCATATGTATGTACATGAGTTCAAGTTACCATACCATAATATTAGCACAGAGACGCGATTATTACCTCAAATCCCACAGTGATAGCGGTAGTAGTAGTAGTAGTATTAGCGGTTATGGAGAAGATTAGGGCTTGAAGATATTACTCAAGAAGTATAGTTCAGTGAGATAACTTTCGAAAGAGAAAAATAGAAATGATGAGGAATTCAGAAGATTAGGATTTGAGAGAACACAAAGAATGAATGCACCTGCGACATTGCAAACGATTTTGAGTGATGTCATTCAACGGTACTTTTATCTCGCGCATGAAGATTCCAATTTAACTTGGATGGATTGTAGTGTTTCGTTTCATTATTAATTAATTTTGAATTAATTTTTATAAATAACTATGAATGATCTCTTCAAAATGCATCAAGAGAATTATAACGATCAGAATGAAAAATGTGTAAAAGTCAAAAATACAGATTTATGAGAACAGTAGAAGTGTCGCAATGAGAGTAAAGGTACTTACTACCTGTAGTATTGCAGATTAGACTTCACAAGTTAAATGTGAGGATGAATAAGAAAAAAGTAAGTTCTAAATGCTTAAAATATGTAGAAACAAATCGACAGCATAACTAGGTTCTATCAAAGCACAACACATAATCAACATAGATAGGACGAGTTTTTCAAAACAGTTGTCGTTCTCATAAGATGAAACTAATAGCCAAAGCTCGGTCGTAGCTGTTACAATGACATAGTGGTCCCGCTTGAGTACTGTGATCACTCAACCGAGTTAAATTGGCTGGAAAATACGTTCCTTAATGTGCTCCCATGCCATACAAGTTGATAAGGGGACGGTAACACTAAAAGCAGCAACTCAAGGTCTGAGGGCGAAGTTGTACTGCTGACTGTAGAGGGGTATGACAGCAGTAAGGCGTTCCTCTCGGACAATTAGCATCCATAGCGATGCTGAATTCCCTCCCATAAGGAAGGAAGGAAGGCGTTAGAAAAGGTCGACCCTGAAAATGCCATACCTCACCTTACCTCACAGATTCTCCGTCTCCGGAGGCAAGGCCTTTTGAAAAAGAGCGGAGCTAACACTTTACAAATTTCCCATAAAAATGGCTTGCAAGAACGGCTTCAAGAAGTTATTGCCTGGCATGTACGGTCACACTACTAGGTCTCCAGGACCAACATTAATCTAATTTCCTTTGCAGGTTCCTCAAGAAACACCTTTCAGCGGTGTGGACAGCCGGGAAGCAACATCCGCCCTCGTACCCGTAACAGCACACGAGACCAAATTGGTCACAAACAAATCCTTCCTATACCTCTTAATAACCCTCTTATCTTAACTTCTTAAACGAATGACTTCTAGCAATGGCAGTTCACTTCAGAATTACAATAGATGCTTCAAAATTTTGAAAAATTGAAATAAGACCCCATTATATCATCATTTATATCATTATACTTGAATTTCAAAGTCAGTCAAAGCATCGTATACGAGTTCGACAATTGCTGATGGATGTCACAGAACACTAGATGGAATATGAGGACAAAATGACTGAAGAGATGGCCTACAACTACAGAACCACTATACTGTTATATAAGTAGAAACAATTTCGCTAATACATAGACACCTTCAAAACCGACCCCACCAAATGGAAATATCATACGTAATAGAAAGTGAATCGATGAAGTATAAAAAAATGAACACATTAATTTGAAGCGTTTGTATTTCCCTGTTGTTGGTGTTAAGAATAGCAGCAACTAATCAGTCTCTCCTGATTTACGTGAGTCTTGAGCTGATTGCCTTGGTATTTCCACTTGGTTAAATGTATTTTTGTTGAAGGTGGATAGTGGATAACGCGTTGGATTTTCGAGTGAAGACTTGATAAGATCTAATAGTGTAGTAGCTAATAAAATTGATTATTTTAGAAAAGTGTCATTATTACTAAGGAGACTTAAGAGTATTATCATAACGAGATAATTTAGTGAAAACCAGTAAAGAAACCAAAAGAATGAATACAGCCGGTATTCACATAAGTTTGTATTTTCTTCTTGTTAGTCATAGAGAAATGCTTGTGATATTTTAAAATTTCAATAATACTGAGCATGTAACAAACACTATTTGTGTGATTAGAAACAAAACTTTTCAGAGACTATGGACAACCTGTACGAGCAATGAGAAGATTCCACAGCGGGTGATGATGTGCTATGAGGAATTACGATTTGGTGATAGAAGTTCCGATAATCATTATAAATGAATAGAAACTATAATGCTAAAATCCTATTTAACCATATGGTTGGATGTCAAAATCCATGATTTACTGTCTGCTCCATTCTTACTACTTTGTTTAGAAATTATAGTCTCACTGATTTTTATTTCAGTCAATGGTGGTAGAAGTCGTATAATCAAGTGCAAAAAAAGGTATTCATTGCTATTTGGAATGCAAACAATTCATTTTTTCTCCACGTTGATTCCTGAAGAAAATTCTAATTGAAGTATTTCATAATATGGACAATGTATTACGATTTTTAATAAACAGTTTAATGTAAACAACTATTTGAAATTTAAATCAAGCTACCCGGTGAAATATTGGCACCATTAAATTTCAGTTGGTGAAATTTCTTACACAAACACTTATATTACTTATATATATCGAGAATATTCCATTTGTAAGGCGCCTAATTGTTTAGTTCTTTTTTTTTCTTTGTAAAAATTATTCTTGTCTACATTTGAATTGCAAGTAATAATTCAAGGATGAAGTGTATTATTTTTGATGAATTCTATTTGAAAATTTTAGTTAATTTCCTTTTGAAGAAGTAGGTGTTGATAATGTTGGTGTTTAAAAACAAACAAACAATAAAAGCTTCACGATTGTACCGCTCGCTCATTCCGAAAACCATAACACCTTGAACAAAAAAGCAATTTAGTATTTGTAACTAATACATATAGATAGGTAATAATAATAATAATAATAATATGAAGCAAGAGTTTACAAGTGATTTACTTTTATTACATTATTATGATACTTATTCAAGGAAGTGACTTATTAAGCGTAATTAGAAAAAAAAGAAGCATTGATTATCGGCCATTTCAAACACATTTCTTATGAATTATTAAACAATGAATATCTTTACCAAAAAAAATACTCCAAGACATAAATCTTAACTAATTAAAGCTATTAGTTATTATCGGGCAGAGTTTTTGGAGGTTTGTGTTTTTACACATTTGAAATCATCAATCAATCAATCATTGTTAGACTACCATTAGAAACCTGGAAGCACTGAAAGACGGCCGTTTCGTCCTAGTGTGGGACTCATCGGCAGTGCGCATCTACGACTGTTGCACATCGCAGGATTCGAACCCGGGACCGTCGGTATTGTGAGCGAACACCTAACCATCGGACTAAGTATTAGTGTTTGATTTTAATGGGGTGAGAAGAATTTTATGCATTAATTCATACTTTTAATGTTTCCTGTCAGTGGCTTTCTACTATCTATCTATCATATATATATACATACAAAGTTTCAAGTCGATGGCTAATAATTTATTTCATGTTGAAACAATTATGATGTATAAATTCTAATGCTATTTTTACATACATATGGTTTATATATTATTGTTTAAATGATACAATTTCATTTTATTTTTTTTTCAAATTCTATTCAAACTTATGAAATAATAATCACTTGTCGTACATATTAAACAAATTGAAATGACGAATACATGAATCAAGAAAATTTTGATGGTCATTATATCAATATTGAAAAAAAATGAAGATTTCAAAGTGCTCGATTTAATTAATTTGATAATAATTATCATTAACATTGAAATAGGAAGGTTATATAACTAAGAGTCAACAAGTGAAAAATTTTTTTATTGAAAATAATAATAATAATAATAATAAGTAATTTTTTAAGACATAACAAACCTAATGACAGTGAATACGTAGTTAGTACACAACAAATACTTACTTCAAAGTTAGACATTATTACAAGGTGTCACATAAAGTATGATGCATGATGCTTTTTTAAAACAGAGTACATGAATCTATAGTTGATAATTGAATTAGTGACATATTGTTAGATTGTATATCTCTTAATGATTATTGTTACGTGTCAAGTTGTTGTTGAGACGGTTTATTTGACTTTTTTATCCAACCGAATACGATTAGGGCAATCATTCTTCTTATTCATGAAATATAACATATAATCATGAACATAATTAATAAAATGACATTATTAACTAATAAGTAGTATATATATTAGAATTCTGAATAAATTATTACCTTATTCACAAGTGCAATAATCATATTAATACGAGAAACCAATTGATTGTATTGTCCACGAAATTCTGCAACCTAATTAATTAATAACAAATAGAATGAAGATATAATTGTCTGATAAAAGTAATACATTTTGAGATGGTGGAGAAAACTTGTAGCTCAGGTGGATGATTGTGGTGGTGTTTCGTTCTCTGAGCTGGTTGTTTTGGTTGTGGAGCTTTCATCGTTCTTCTGAACAACATCATCAGCACGAACTTCAGATAGAAGTGAAGTATTAGAATTCTAATACTTCACTTCTATCTGAAGTTCGTGCTGATGATGTTGTTCAGAAGAACGATGAAAGCTCCACAACCAAAACAACCAGCTCAGAGAACGAAACACCACCACAAAAGTAATACATTACAATAAAAAAAATATTCCAAAATATTCCAAAGAACAGTTAAGTTAAGTAAAACAAAATTAGGAAATGTTAAAAGAAATTCAAAAGAAATATATATATTGTCTACAAACTAACTAGGTTTACTTTTAAATCTGTAGTAAAAAAACGGGCAAAACTTAAAGAAAACCATAAGTGTTTTAAAGACTTAATGTCATGATAAAATGTCGTGTATTATTGGAGTAAAAAAAAGATTGTCATTCGATTTTTAGTGTTAACCGATGCTACAAATTGAAAGCATTTGATTAATTATCAAGACTATATCCATGTACAATCTAAGTAAGACGGTTTGTTTTTGCTACTGTAGAAAGTAACTAATTGGTCTTATGTTTGGACAAGATTAAGCATACTTTTCATTTATCACTATAGCTGTGTTCTTAGTTAGAAACTCTCGTTATGAAAACCATCCAAAAAACATCTCTTGATTGAATGAACAAGTTAACTGAAATTTTTTGTGAACTCAGTAAATTAAAATTCTTACAATGTGTTAGGATATTCACAAAAATATCCTAAGAGTACTATTTTTGGAAGTATAATCCTCTTGGTTGAAATTATTGTCGTTTTAACTGTAAAAGTCAAATACTTCAAAGTTGTCTCTTATTGGTCATCCGGACTGTCGATGTCATTTCAAATGTTCTTTCCTATTGGTCGTCCTAAACTGTCAATGTCACAGACTTTGATGCTCTTTCCTATTCGACCTTAATGTAAGACTCCATGATTCCGATTCCGTTTCTTCCAGCCTACCTCTCTTCTGTACTCGACCCAATAAACAACACCATCCAACGGTGTTGCGTTCTGATATCTAGGAGATTTGGAAATAGTATTTGGGTCGTATTGGGATTATTATTATTATTATAGCTAAAAATATATTTGGAAAAATTGTCAAAATTCAAATTTATAGATAATCTTTGATTTCTAAATAGGAATAAGCATTATTGAAAGTTTCACTGGTATTATCAACTATTGAAACTGAACTTCCACAGATGATGAGGATCTAGAAACTAGTTATAAAATCAATGTCACAAGTGTCAGACTCTCAGGTTGGCATTTATACTCGTTTCGTCCTGGTATGGGACTCATCAGTCCAGTGCTTCCAGGTTTCTAATGGTGGTCTAACATTGATCGATTCATGGTTACAAATAAAACTTAACAATCTTCACAACAACCCCGCAATGCAATGACACGTGTCCACTAGTGACTAGCTTGGTGAGGAATCTTCTCCGAGTTCTAGTGGGAAGTCGTGACCAGTGAAGTTCAAACCTGTCCGGATGTATACAGGGTATGAGGTCGCGCAACTCCGTGGATTTGATCATGCTAGACATTAACACCGTTAGATACTGGCTCAGTGGTCTAACGGTTAGGGCGTTCGCGTACAATACCGAAGGTCCTAGGTTCGAATCCTGCGAGGAGCAGGAGTCGTGGATGCGCACTGCTGATGAGTCCCATACCAGGACGAAACGGCCGTCTTTCAGTGCTTCCAGGTTTCTAATGATGGTCTAACATTGATCGATTCATGGTTACAAATAAAAATTAGTTGTGAGAAAATTCAAAAAGGAATTTCACCATTAGACATAATATATAATAATGTATAAATTATTTTATTATTAAAATGTTTCATCAATCAAATGTCATTGAAATATTTATTTTGTAAAGAGAACTGTATACAGGCAATCATTTCATTAAACAAACTATATATATAAACTATCTCACCAAAGTTTCATCTGCCACCATAAACAACTCCATCACATATGGCTGCAATTCACCTGGACGATGAACAACATGTACTGTATTCAAAGTTGACTGGAATATAAATAATAATGAAAAATAAATTGAAGTAAAAAAAAAACTAAATTTGAATTACCATCACTTTAAATCTGTGACATATTAAATTCGTCAAGTAATCAAGATGAATAATAATTTCAGTCCATTGTTATTTATTGTTTGTACACTACTAAATACTGGTTATGTTGATAGCCATTTGAACAAACGGTACCAGAGAAATAAAATTTTTACTTATGAGTAAGCATCTATTCACTTTTTATTTTCATCTACAATGTATTTTACATTCAGTATAGGAACACTCTTATAATTTCACCCCCTAACATAAATATTCGATAAAAATTACCTTAATCTTGTGTGTACGTACAATGGTATCACGGTTAGATAATTCTTAGTTTTCTGATTAGATCATAAAATTAAGTTATAGAAATTAATCAGTCTAACAGATTAAAGTATACTACAATACTTGAAATTATTATTATTATTATTATTATTATTATTATTATTATAGTTTAGATGTAGTCGCTATTTGTCATTAATTTCTGAAATTTAATATTATTTTATGCTTTTCAATTACTGATTTAGTCATTTTCAAACTATACATCCACTACGAAGAGTATTTCATCATGTTTCATATACAATGTAACCATATTGATAGAATACAGTGTTGGAGAACTATAAATCTATGAGATCATCTGATTAGATAGTGGCATACAACAGATTGATTATATAGTCCATAATCAAATAGAACAATGCTGTATGAAGAAAAACAACATATCAATCTGAAAAAAGTGAAGACCGCTTATTATTCATAAGCTTTTTTTCAATATACGATATGATTCATTAGGATAGTGTTGATTGATAGTGTTGTATAAAATCTTTCTGACTTTGGTATTTGGTAAAAAAAAAGCGCCCACATCGCACAGATACAGAGCAATGAAAATTATAAGAAAACTTACAGTATTCGCCATTGATGTAGGAGCTATAATGGGAGAAAAAATATGTGGATAAAGAAATTTGAAACTCTTAACATCAAAGTGATTATAAATTATGATTAAATGATAAAATACAAGGAATAATTATACATGTATGTGAAGGATAATCACTTAGTTATAGTATTTCATTAATTCAATTTTCAATTAAAAAACCGATTATTTAATTCAATTGCAAAATCTTTGAATATAAAAATAAGCAATCCTCTATAATCATTAATAAATCAACAATTACTCATTGTACATTTATCTAAACTATGCTAACTAATCGGCCACTTCAACTGAAATGACATGGAGTTTAAATTTATAAAGTACTCCTGGTTCTATGACGATTGTTATGACAGAGTAACTTTAAAGTTAGCAGATTAGCTGTGGGTAGACTATAAAAAAAACAGCTTGCGACTTGATTTTATTATTCACTGTGATCGATCAGTTTGAGTAGTCTAGTAAAGCAAATTGACTGACTGATGCACACATAGATCAGGTTTTACAGTGCATATGACTGACTACTTGATTTCAGTTTTCTAATGTTATGATAGTGTACTTGCAATAACTGTCAGCTGATTATTTATGTACAATAATATCTATGTTAACAAGATAAGTATATCAGTCAGTCAATCAGACGCTACGTAGAACTTCGTACGTAAGTACATCAGTTCATGTTGCCATATCATATCAGCACAGAGATATTACTGTCAATTCAAATCCAATAGTAGAAGAGGTAGTAGAGGTATTAGAAGTAATCGGAGAGGTTAGGATTAAAAGATATTACTCAGGAAGTACGAGATGAGTTTAGAAAGAAAAAACTAGAGGTGTTGAAGAATACAGAAGATTAGGATTCGAGAGAACACAGAGAATAAATGCACCGGCGCCATTGCGAACGGTTTTGATCCATGTCATTCAGGGTCTGTAACCATCGATTATTATCATCTCGCGGACCCCAACCTGGTAGTAGACAACTACCGACATGGCTACGTCCACTTGTCAATGACTTCATGGATTGCTGCAATGTTTTGGTTTGGCCGCCCCTAAATTTCTTCCAACCTATTCCTCCACTACAAAACAAAGCTCGACGAGGCAGTCGGTGGTTGGGCATACGCAACACATGTCCCAACCACCTCAAATGATGAAGTTTCATTACTTCATCTATTGATTTGCCATTCTTACCTAGCCCCCCTTTCCTAATAACAGCGTTGCTCACTCGGTTGTCCCACGATATACGAGCAATGCTTCGAAGACACCTATGATCGAAAACCAGTAACCTACGAATATCTTTTACTCTCACTGGCCATGTTTCACAGCCATAAAGAAAGACGGAGCGAACTACTGCGCAGTACACTCGTCCTTTAGTCAGCAAACGGATATCTCGCCTACGCCATAAGTGACGCAAGTTGGCGAAAGCCAATCGAGCCTTCTGTATCCGTGATGATATTTCTTCAGTCACCACGCCATCAACACTGATGAGGTTTCCTAGATAAGTGAGGCGGTCTACACGCTCGACTACTTCACTCCCTATCACTAGTTCAGGTGCCAATACAACCCATTCTTGAAGCAACATATTGCATTTCGAGGGGGGAAACCGCATTCCGAACATGCTTGCATTGTTGCTTAGGGTGGTCAGAAGACTCTGCATTTTGTCAGCGTCTTCACCAAGTAGTACTATGTCATCGGCATATTCTAAGTCGATAAGCGAGCCTCCCGGTAGGTCTACTCCTGAAAATTCAGACGAGGATAAGGTCATTTTTAAGAGCATGTCTATGATAAAATTAAACAAGAATGGAGACAGTAGACATCCCTGATGGACACCACTTGAGGTAAAGAATTTCGATGACAGTTCGCCATAAGCTCTCACTCGACCAATGTTGTTCGAGTAGAGTGTTTGTATAAGGTTAATGTACTTCTTCGGCACACCTTTCAGTGACAGACACTGACACAGAACCTCACAATCCACTGAGTCAAATGCCGCCTTAAGGTCCAGGAAAACAACTATTGTCGGACGCCTAAATGTGTGTCTGTGTTCCAGGACCTGTCGTAGTGTGAACACGTGGTCTATACAGCCGCGTCCAAGTCGAAAACCAGCCTGATTTTCTCTAGTCTGCTCTTCACGAGCTTTTGTTAAGCGTCGAAGTATTATTGAGGGCAATATTTTAGATACTATATTAGTTAGACTGATTCCCCAGTGATTTTCAAAAGGAAGACTTGTGTCCTTTCTTATAGATTGGGACAATCAGTGATTGAGACCACTCGGATGGGATAACGTCCCGTTCCCACATTCTGCCTAAGATCTCAGTTAACCTAGCTACTAAAACTGGACCACCATCGTTCTTTTCTAACCCTTCCTTCCTTGTGAGAAGGCAGCATCACTGAAGATGCTGGTTGTCCGAGGAAAACACCTTACTGCTGTCACACCCCTCTGCAGTCAGTAGTACGACTTTGCCCTCAGACCTGGAGTAGCTGATGTTAGTCCTAATCCTAATATCACAATAAGCAAGTGGTTCTAAAGATTGGCAAAGAGTCTACATTTTATCTAAGTATAAATCTATTGTAAAAAATTTGACTGATTGATATTTATTGTGCGAAAAACAGATTAAAATATATCTTTATGATTAAAATTTAAAAATGTATTATTTTCATTTTTGGTATTATAAATAATATAATGAACGAAGAACAATAAGACAATTTTTTACAAATATTTTCTCAAATCAACAATATCGTTATGTTTTAATATGATAAGCGACAATAACGTCTAATTTTATATTACGGACAGCTTTATATGCATATGGGTGAAATTACGAAGCAAGAAGCGAATAGTTCTGTATGCAACATACCAAAACGACCCGGTACGACTGAAAGTGAGAGAAGTTCCCTATTCCTCTCCAAATAGTTTTTTATGGCTCTGATACCGATAACCTTCACTTAACTTGAATGGCTAGTTGATGTAAGTCCCTCAACTCTTAATGAGGTCAATCTAAGAAGAGAGAGAGAAAAGCAGATCTCGATAGGTTAACCTCTCAGATTTTTAAGCATGCTGGTCCAGTTTTCGCAGTTGGATTGACTGAGATCTTAGGTACAATCAGAAAACTTGACGTAATTCCATTTGACTGGTCCCAATAACTGATTCGCACAGAATATAAGAAAGGACAAAAGTCCTCTTGTGACAATCACAGAGCAATCAGTTTAACTAATATGATGTCCAAGATATTTGCTTCAATAATACTTAGACGCTTAACTAGAGCTCATGAAGAGCAGATTCGAGAAAACCAGGCTGGATTCGGACCTGGACGTGGATCAATAGACCGAATTTTCACACTTGATTAGGTCCCAAAAGATAGACACATAGTCAGACACTCCATAACGGTTGTATTCCTTGACTTTGTTGTTGAGTTGTAAACTTTTTTGAATTTACATATTATGACTAGTTTTCGTCATACCGAGAAAAAAATAAACCAGGCTAATCTAGTTTAATCAAAGTCAATGACACAAATCGATGTTGTATATTTTGTTATATTTTATGCTTGTAAATAAATCAGATCAAATATTTTATAAACACAAGCGACAACCAGCAAAACGATAACTTACAGCGCTTCACTTTTTTAACTATGTTATTATTACTATCATAAGAATCAAATGATTGCGTGTTGATTAATGATGGTGAATTAATAGATGAATTGAGAGAATCAAATTTTGAAATTTTCCCACTTGATAAAATTGAATTCGATTTTCGAATATTTGAAGATAAGTTAGGATTGACTTCAAAAATTGTAACATTTAAATGGGAAATAGTGAGGTTATATGTGGCACCGAATAGATGACATATGGTAGGAGAGTGAAACTGACTATTGTTGTTTTGTTTTAGTTTTTGGCTTATAGATTCAACGAAAACAGTACAGCCTGATGGATGTATTTCTGAAGATGAAATATTGACATAACCGCTGTAGAGAAAGAAAGAGAGAGAGATAGAAATTCATTATTACATACCAAACTAAAGTGTGACTCAGTCAGTCAGTCAGATGCAACGTAGAACTTTGTACGTAAGTACATCAGTTCATGTTGCCATACCACATCGGCACAGAGATATAATTTTGTCAATTCAAATCCAAAGGTATAAAGAAGAGGTAGACTGACTTCCTTAGTTATTGTTTTGTTATCAGGATACTACTGATATCAATAATAATAAACACCACAGAACGATGAGAGGATTAGCAAACATGTTGGCCTGTTTAAAATACTACACTTAATGTAACAAAAGGCCAAAAATATAAATTTATGTAGGCAAAAAAAGAATGACGAATCACTGAATAAGTTTCTTAAATAAATGGAAAACTATGCTTTGTGTCGAATTCAAGATGAATTACTATTGCGCATTCAAAGTATACAAATCACAAAAATGCAAGTTAAATAACACTTCAATTTGGTTGAATCTAGTTATAATTGGAACACATACGCTTCAATCAGTTATAATATCAATTAAATACTAGAGGATACAAAAAGCACTGATTTTGCTTGTGTTTTTGGATTGACAAAAAGTAGAGTAGAACACCTTAAAAAATTTGTCAATCAAAAATCTACATTGAAAAGTTTATCTTAGTGATGGGAGTAGGAGATATAAATACTTAGGTTTCTATGAAGAAAGTAAGAACGTAAGAACTGTCAGTTGAACTGCTCATGAAAAAAAAATACTAATCATATGGGTGTTAAAAACTTAATAAAAACCTAGCCAGCAAATATTTTAAGATGAGATTGAAAGGTAAAATCTACAGTGCTATTTACTAAAACTGGATATAATTTAGAAGTGGTCAGATGACTTACTTTAATTGGTTTTTGGAAAGAAGGAACAATCCATAAACCTCGTTGGTTGAAGATTCATTAATAAATCTACGGTCGTCAACTTGTAGACGGTATCCAGTAACACAAAATAGGTTTTCGTAATACTAAAGTGGGACAACATAGGAAAAAAAGGTATTTAACCGTTTGAAAAATTTGCTTTTCCAAGCTTCTTAGGTAAAATTAAAGCTGTTCTGACTGGACTTTTCCAGAAATCTCTCAATATAAAGCTACGAGCATGTAGAAGCTCATCAGTTTACGTGGTAACTTTTCTGTAGAGAAGCATAAAACACGACAGTAGGGAAGCAAGAACCATATATACGAGGAAACGGAAGAATATAGTAAACATGACTCACTGAACCTTCACAGACCAACACTAGTATTTTTGCAATGAATGCATTCACATAAAACCACAATTTGAGAGATGAATGTATTTTAGTTAATGATACGGTTAGGTAGTGGATAAAATTGGGTTAGCATCTCTTCGAATTGGGGAAAACTCAGTGGGGTGTATTTGCATCCTACTATTGATTTTTACGCTGGCATTCTAACACAGTGCCTTTCGCTTGGAATGCTTCACCGCTGACCGCTGTCATACTTTATTCGAAACTTACGAATGTAAAAAACTACTGAGGTAATCTAAACAAGAAGTCCAACGCCGCTACCTTGACGTGGTGGTTGGGCTTGCCTATCGTGATGATATAATCGAGTTATATTGACTGGAACATATGTTGTTTTAGGTCGTATCAAGCCAGGTAGGTCGATTGGAGAAGCTGTGGAAACAGCAGTGATATCTACTAGCAAGATAAACCATAAGGTGAAAAGAAGCCGTGAATCTCAGCAGCATCCACCAAACTGATAGATGTTCAGAAACTCACCTCGTCTGGCTCTGAACATGATGAACAGCGAAGTCAACTTAAACACAGGCTGATGAAAAGCCTACACAATGATCCCGAACAATGGTGGGTAGCGAAAATAAGAGAGATGGAAAAGGCAAAGGCGATAGGGAACAGCAGTAAACTGTTCAGACATATCAAGGAAACCGGTATTAGAAATACGACTGTAGGTGAGACGATCTCTGGAAAGGATGTGCTTATTATTCATTCTCAATCCAAGAAGTTGGATTGATGCGCAGAGATCTTTAGGGATCAGTTCAACTGGCCTTCAGCCATATTTCGGTTGCCTACGATCTCCGATCAACCTGAAAGGCAAATCGATGTACGTCCTCCGAGACTTGATGAAGTTGAAAAAGCTGTAAAAAATATAAAGCAAGGGAGGGCGATATTCCAGTTCAGGTTTCTGAACATTAGACAAGTATTGGCAGGACTTATACATTTAATTTGAATTCAAGAGTACGCTAATAACGACTTTCATTTTAACATTTCTAAATCTCTGTTTAGATAACTGTCCGACAATTTAGATACTATCTCTGCTTCTATGGGATTTGGATTGACAGTGCCATATCCGTGATATTTCGGCATGGCAACTTGAACTGATGTTCGGACGTACGAAGTTCTACGTTGCAACTGACTTGATATGACGTATCTAAAAGCAAGTAAACGACGGAGCTAAACAAGAATGGAGGAAGTGGACAGCCCTGACGAACTAAACAACAGTTTAGAACATGAAGCAAAGTGACCACTAGCGAGCACATGTATCAACCACGTGCTATTATGGATTCACTATCCACAATACTAGTCAATAGCGTATGGAAATTGTTAAGCGTCAAGAGCACTACGCAGTAAAAAAATTCAAGTTACCGTATTAAATGCGTGACTGGGTAGCCGCTCAAAACCGCTAACATTGATTGAGTGTGAACACTTTCTAAGATATAAAATTATGCGTTTTGAGACAAAGTCACAAGAGATGATGGTATTTTGTGGGCTGATCTAAAAAAGAAGTGAATGCTTAAACCAAGAAGACTTACTTCATTATATGGCAATGAATTTGGGCTGTCGAAATTCATCAAAGGTATCAAGTCTATTACATTAATTAAAAGCGCTAAGATTACCAAATGTCGTTAGCCAAAAATACTGATTACCTATCCATCCTGAAAATAGACATAATCGGAATATAAACATTTCAACATCTTCTACTGCCCTTTGGAAGTTTAAAAGTTCGGAATTTTAAAAGTCTACATATCCTCAACCTCAAATCAAATTTGCATTGTGTCAAGGTGATGACCTTCCAATATCCAATATATCTAATATCATTATCGCGAGCTGGTATCAACCAATTGATTTCTTTGCCCTAGACTGTTGTTTTTTGGGCAAGGTTTCTGGTATTTGGAAGTGTCTAATCGGTGTGTGTCGGGCCAGTCGACTGCCTGATTCTAGTCATTCTGCAGTTGTTTGTGGGCTTGTATGTCCCGTGATTTGAATGAATACGTTTCTTTCAGGGCATTATGGTGTAGTGGTATACTTTTACGACTATAAACCGACTTACTACTTGGTAATCCACGTAAATTAGAATTGATCGATACCGCGCGTACTGAGTTTTCAGAGATAAAAAAGCTCTAACTCAAGTCACGCTTCTCGCCCATCCTGACCCATCAGCCAAGCTCAGTATAGCGGTTAATGCATTAGATTTCTCCGTAGGAGCCGTTATGCAACAGAACATCTCTGGAAGTTGGAAACCTTTCGAATATTTCTCGCGACGTCCCTCTCACACGGGGACGAGGTATAGCTCTTTTGATCACGAACTGCCAGCAGCCTGCTGTGCCATCAAACATTTCCGGGAAGCAGTAGAAGGTCGTAAATTTATCATTTTCACCGACCATAGGCCTCTAACGCATGCTCTGCATGCCAAATCTGACCGCTTCTCATCACGAGAGTGCAGAAATTTGGACTGTATCTCTCAGTTCACAACAGACCTTCGTCACATTGAAGGCAAGTCGAACTACGTTGCCGATGCTCTGTCACGTATTCAAGTGAATGCAGGTACTTTACCGGTACTTGATGTTCCTGCTATGGCCTCTGCCCAGGCAAATAATCCCTTCTGTACAGAAGCACAACAATCTGCATCCATTCAGTTCCAGAAAGTGTGTGTGAAAACTTTACTGGTCTAGCTCGACCCATCGTACCCTCTGCTTATCGTCGTCTCGTCTGCAATGCCCTTCATGGTTTGTCTCATCGCTGCATAATACGTCTGGCCTTCCATGAACAAAGATATGCGTATGTGGGTTAAGCAATCCTTAAAATATCAGCGATCAAAAGTGCACAGGCACGTAGTCGCCCATATCGGCACATTCTCTACGCCTGATGCTCGCTTTGATCACATTCATATTGACATTGTAGGACCATTGCCATCATCGCATGGGTATGATCACATACTCACGTGCATCGATCGTTTTACAAGATGACCCGAAGCTATTCCTATCACTTCTATTACGGCGGAAACAGTTGCTCACCGCTTCGTAGAACGATGGATAGATCTGTACGGTTGTCCCTCGACTGTCACAACTGACGGAAGACAACAGCTCGAATCCGAATTATTCTCCTCGCTAACTCAGCTGCTTGGTACGGAGCGAATATGCACTACTGCCTACCACCCATCTTTGAATGAGTTAGTCGAATGTTTTCATCGTCAGCCTAAAAGTGTTCTTCGAGTACACGAAGACAACAATAGGTTCGAAGCCTTAGGTACCAGAACGAGCTTAAAGGCAGATATTCAATGTTCCGCCGCTAAGTTGGCATACGACACGACATTGTGCCTGCCCGGGGAATTTTCCACACCACAAAGCAGTGATAACTTCAATAAATCCGACTACGTCCAACGATTGTCTGAATTTATGCGAGCACTGCCTCCGGTGTAAACGGGAATACAACATCAACAGGTCGCTCTCCCTCGAAAGTTATCTACCTGTTCGCATGTTTTCATTCGAGTCGATTGGATACGCAAACCTCTGCAACAACCTTACGAAGGACCTTTTCACGTGATTTCTCTTCATGAAAAGACCTTCAAGGTTGCTCGACCATGGCCGCGTCGAGTTAGTCAGCATTAATCGTCTCAAGCCAGCACGTGTCGATGACAGTGCGATACTCGCTAATCCGAGACCCAATGCTAGACCTAGCGGGATCCTCAAAGCTACTTCGGATTCCATACTAGATAAACCAAAGACCTCATTCTCACGTCACAGTCAGCAGCACGCGTCATATGCACTATCTACAGATGAAACTCCGGTGTCAAGTGCAGATCAGCAGACCACGCAGCACTTGATTGCGGATAAGAATGTAGGCTCACGAGGCACACACGAGGCTACTGTTTCGCGTTCGGTCGCCATGTACGTCATCCAGTTAAAAACGGATACATAATAGTAGAATATCCACGTGCTACATGTATGCTTCACTTTTCTCTGTTTCTTTCATTCTGTATCCTGAGCCCATGTATACGACCATCGTCTTGTTGGCACCGTCGACTTCAGTCAATCCAGGTGAAAGCTAGCCTGATCACTCATGCTCTTGTCAATGTCAGTGTTTTGGTTTCGAATGTTCTGGCACACGAATGGTTTAGAACTGGTCGTTTCTGGCTCCCGCGCTCAAGATGTTTCCTTTAAACGTCTGCAGCTTTTTCCGCTCCAGACCTCTACGAATGCTATCTTCAGACTCTGGATGCGAGCCACGCTGTTTGGTTTGCTTACCCGAGCACTAAACTTGGCACATTACTTTTGGTGCAGTTCAAAGCAAAAGACTGTCAATGACAACTTCAGCCTCATTGGTCGCTTCCTGTTCGCCAACACTACCGCCATACGATCGTCTCTTATCCAACCGCCCCCCCTTCACACGAAATCGCTGCTTATCGATAGTGCGAACTCTTTCTATAGGGAAGCCAATCTATTGGTAAGCATTTACGAGAATAACACAATTACTGAAATATAAACATTTATTCTCGCACTTAATACTGACAATTTTTGTTAAATTGAACTCCTTGCTGGGGTTTTTCAGTGGTTTCTTAATCCGGAAGAACAGTTGTAGAAGTCTAGATACGTGGCTTGTCCAGTTTATTCAACTAGAAAGCAATTTATTTGGGTAAGAAACGGTTCTAAACATTATTAAACTGTTCTTTATCATAATTTAACACAATGTATTTCCAATTCTGGAAGAATGGTTCTACATAAGTCCGGAATTGCACCCTTTCAGTCCAGGTTCACGTTTCACCACCCAGGGTGTCAAATCCGATATGGCTGACTCCATAATTGGTTATCAATTTAAACATTATAATACGGTTTAGTAGAAAACATAGAAACTCCAAATAAGGTACAAAAGATATAAACTATAACAAAATACAAATATTAGCATCACAAAATGGGATCAGACAGAGTACCGAAATGTAGCACAGAAAGTCAGTAAGAACATATTACAAATATATACATGGAGGGATTTTCCCAAAACAAAACCTTGGATTCTACAAAGAGGGAATGTTAAGAAGGGGACTGGCAACTCCTCAACTCACAAGCGGCTACCACTTAAGGACAGGAACGATAGAATAAATTCACTTATTTTATTTAGTCCCAGTGTCGGAAGGAAGCTTGCTAGCAGATAGGGCTGCCTTCGACAAAGAATAGTGAGACAAATACTGAGCAGTACTCGGAATGTGCAATACCCCAGCCTAAATATGCCGCCCTTTCAGGGGCCAGGGGGAACCCCCTTCAGTGAGAGTAACTCTAGACTCGGCGTAACTTGCTGAAGACATCCACCTCTAATCCCAAAACCATCGGTCAAATTATCCTCTACGGTTCGAATCAGGCACGATAAAGTGTGGACGGTACGAGCGGCAGCCAGGACAATACCAGGCATTCAAGAACAAGCCACCATGGTAGTTCGCGCTCTTAGCTGGAGATTTCAATAACCCATCTCGGTATCTCAGCAATCAGGGTACAACTAACAATGATTGGTTCCAAAGACGACTTGTCGCAGCCATTAGAAGCTCTGGGCTTACTGAGCACGTACGCAGTGCCACTAGATGGACTAAGGAAGGAAAGTCCTCAAGCGTGGATTAGCTATTAACAAAGTAGCAGCTCGTGATCGAGGATGTTCATACACCATTAGGGGGTAGTGACCATGGCACAGTCATGTTAAGTATGGTTATAAACGAAGCACACAGAGGAAGAAAACGAGGACCATCTTTGCCACACTATGGCATATTATACGCGTATGAGAGATATCCTCCTACATGTCCCATGGTCACGGGAGTGGTGGAGTCTGACAGTAGATGATCACTGGCAAACAGTGAGAGACATCATCCAAAATGCTGTCGTAGACAGTGTACCTCAGTCACACCACACACCAAGGACATGGTTTAGGCGCGGCACTGAACGCTTACTACAAATGAAGTGGAGAGCCTGGCACGAGTGGAAGGTCTCCTTGAAAGATTCTGATCGTAGTTCTTACTTGGTATTGAGAAACAGATGCAGTACCGAAATTAGAAGTTACAGGGGAGGATTTCAGGTTAAACTAGCTGCCAAAATAGATGCAAACCTGAAGCATCTGTTTAGGTTCATGTCTAAAGTAAAACATACGAATCAGGGGTTGTGTTCTTTTGTAGTGCCTCCACATATATTCCAGTTCTCTTACATCTAACTTGGTTAAGCCCTTTCGATTAATTTATTTAACCAAGCCATTCGCTTAGCAACAACTCATATGTACCATTGGTATTTTTTATTATCTGCTTTGTATGAGCTTAGACGACTGAGCATTGCTTACGCTTACGCACTTACTCATCCTTTTCGCTTTAATATTAATCTCGTAATATTCCCATGAACTCACATGATTTGTATCGCTTGCTTTTGACCTTGTCAATCATTCGTCGCTTTTATTCATGTGTGTGCATACCTATTTCGCTTGTCATATGTCTGTCTTATTCTTATCTGACTATATATTCTTAGTCATACTCTATCTCTTTGAGTTGGCTCTTAGCCTTCTCCTATTCGCTTCACTCATTCGCTCGCATTGTAATCCAAAGAGTTTGCTCTTAGCCTTCTCCAATTCGCTTCTCTGCTATCCTTATTGTGGTGTGCTACAATAAACGTATACGATACTTGGAGTTCATCTTCTGATTAATAAACCGAGCTTAAGAACACGCAGTTATAGGCACACTACACTTTCAAAGGCCCGAATGGAGAAGACCTCATCAACCTAGAGATGGCTGAGATCTTCAACACAATCAGTTAAAC